CAGTGACTGCTGTATAGCATTCGAAACGTCGGGAACCAAAAATTAAAATAAATTCGCGAAAATGTCCGAAAACATAGTTATATTTAAAACTAGCAGAACACGCGGCTTTTTAGAACTGAAAGTACTAAAAAAACGTTAAAAAGGTAGGTTTTGATACAAAAATTTCATCCCCTATTTTACCTCCTTATGGGATGAAATTAGAAAAATTCTAAAACATGTATTTAAATAACTGCATTGAAGAGCATTAATACCAAGTTTTAAGTAATTGTGATCATAAATATTTTTTGGATTGTATTACAACGTATTTTCCCGTGGGAATGAGATTATCTTCCGCGGTTTTTTTTGCGGTTCTAATACCTCTGACATAATAAGAGACTATGTTTGCATACAATCTTTATTTACTCGTATCTTGTGCCATAGGATATATCTTCCGCGGTTAAAAGTAGCCGATCCAGCCTTCCAACTATATCCACACAAAAAATCAATCTGTCACTCTGTTTCAACGTGAAAGAGGGACAAACAAAAACACTTTCAACATTTATAATATTAACTATGGATTAGATTGTGTAGTGACAGACTCGCCTTTAAAGTATTTGTCTTACTTTTTCGATACATCAGCTCGTCTTGACTTATGATCTATTTGGCCTTTACAGCCCTTGACCTGAACTTAACCCACGAAGTTAGATATACGATGCCAGACAAGTAGGTATATAATTTGTTTGATAATAAATCAAGCCAAGTTGAAAGTTTTACTTACGATAGAAGTTTTTGTTAATAGTAATTTTCATTGTAAATCAATCATATAAAAAAGATCTCCAAAACTTCGCGGGAGTACAAAGAATAAATGACGAAAGTTTCTTCAAAATCGGATGAATTTGGAATATATAAAAGTAATTTCTCTACTTTTATAGGTGAAAGTACTTATGTACGCACATAAGAAGTTATACTTCTTTGGCGTGAAAGAACAAAAATATCGCATTTTGACTGTCGATGTGCATCATAAAAATTTTACTCGCATATTTTTTTCCAAACCAGCCAAAAGAAGTATAACTTCAAAAAGGAATGTACTCAGCTTTATAAGTAACTTCGAAAAACCTTCTTGTATTTTATAGCCTATTTATTGAGGAAGGTTGTAAAAATATCACGATAAGACCATAATAAACTACGTGAACTAAGCCGCAGGTAAAAGCTACAAAACAATATTATAATGTTTTCGTTAAAATATGCATAACAAACAAAATTTCTTGTAACAATGGTACTGGTACGAGCAATTACTACAATATATAGAAATTCCCTTTATCTTTACCTGAATATTTCATAATACTTTGCGCGATTTACGCGAATATTTCACATTTTAAATAAAACTATCTTTTCGGATTTTTTCGTGGATTTATTTTGATTTTTGGTTCCTGATGTTTCGAATGCTTTACAGCAATCATGGTCACTGGGATACTAATGTTTAAGATGTTTTAAAGGCTTGAAAATTGTAATAATTATGATAATAACTGCTAAAATTAAATAAATAATATTCCATATTCAATTATAAAACTTATTTAAATTATAAAAATGTTTGAAATTAAAATTAACAAATATTGTAATATGTACTTTTGGTGCCATTTTGAATTTTTTTTAATTAATTTTGTTATTTTGTGGGTAGGCTGTCTGTAACAACTACATAATGCCTTTGAGACATCTAAAACCTTAGTCTCTCCCGTGACCATAATTGCTGTAAAGCATTTGAAACGTCGGGGACCAAAAATCAAAATAAATCCTGGATATTTCAGTTAACTTACATATCGATGCCCTCAAACAATAAGTCGGTAGACGTAAAATCCAAATTTTATAGGAAAATTTTTATAGAAATGATTTGTTTTTGTTGAATATATTTTCAGCCTGTGGAAATAATAAACACATTGATATACCAAAAATAAAGTAATTTTTTGTGAAACATAATCTATAACCAAAACCTAGCAATATAAGAAGCAATACACGATATGCGATAGGAAAAATATTACAATAATAGCACTCACAGTTGTTTTTGTTGCTGTAAATTTGTTATTATTATTGTAATATGTAACATAATATATTATGAAGTCTCAATGGAAAATATACCCGATATAGATGGAGATTGCTTTGTAGGTGTCTTTTTATTGAATTTCATTATGTTAAGTTGTTCAAATGTTTCTAAAATCAAAGGTGATATTTTTGTATTATATTGCTGTTGTGTGTTGTGTTGTATTATATAGTTGTGATTCGAACGACCTAGGTTCGAGTCTCGGGTCGAGCCAAATAAAGATCTTGGATTTTTTATCAAGAAATTCTCAGGAACAACCCAGAGTTGGGAAGTTGGCAGTGTTACTCTCCTGTACCTTAGAAAGCTCTGCATGGCACCTTTTGTCTCACCAGTCGTGTCGAATCGTGTTCCCATAGAACTTTAATCCCTTCACTACCGCGGACACGCAGGCGTGTCAGTTAACAATAGATTTCTTAGAATTTTAATTAATTTTTTAGAAATTTACCTGGAGTTGTTAAGAATAAAAGGATTAGAGAGTGTATTTGTTTTTCGTACAACGCCGGTGGCTAGTCTCAATTAGATTAGGCGCCAAGGCCGAAATCGGTCAGAACTATATTAAATAGCTTGACGAATAACTACACTAGCATTTGCTCATAGCTTTACGCATGTGATAAATGGTAAAATATTGGTAAATTTGTAATATCAGTGTGTTTATAATTATGTGATTAATCTTGGCTAATGCATACAGCTCTGAGAGCCAATGTATGTCGGTCCAGTACGTAATATACCTCCGGATACCTCAATTTGTACATTTGAGACCTATTTGGTCGATAAAAAATAAACTTACTAGGTTTTTATCTAAACTTCCATGTTTACCATAAAAATCATTCCAGCCATTTTCTTAACCAATTGTTTTGAAATTTGGCAAACCCGCTCACGATGAGATGGGAAAATGTATAAGTTATATTTCATTACGTAGTTTCTGTGGCATATTGCAATAGTTTTCGACTTTATAATATTGGCGTAGACAGGAATTCGAATTAATAATTCGATTAAAGTAAAATTTAATACAGGCAATGCTTGTATTTACTTATATTATAGCCTTATATTAAAATACGTTGTATTACGCATTTTGTTAATATTAAGTGAGCAAATCTTGTATATTATATAGTACTAGCGTTTTCCTGAGGCTCCGCTCGCATATATCATATATTAAAATCTTTTCCGAAACAAGCTGCATCTTATGGTATGAGTATTATTCCGATAAGTTTAGTAGTTATCGCAGTATAACCGAACAAAAAAATTGGCTCTCTATTTATTAATATAGATAGCAAACACTACTTTTCAAAAATGTTCTAAGCTTAACTTAAGTCCATTTTACTTTTATGTTAATTGATTATTGAAAAGTGCAGAAGTAACTATTCTCCTTAGAATATCTGCTTTAATTTAGTACAGTGGTAGCCCATTTGTATTGCTTTTGCCTGAATAACCAAGTGAAGCGGGTTCAATTCCTGGATCTCGCAACTTTAAGATTCTCATGTGTTAATTTTGTTTTTAACATATCAGTTGTTAATAAAATGGAGGAAAACAACAAAAATTTTCTATCCCAATCTATATGCATATCGTTGATAATAAAATTTTATTCATTCAATGCCTGCCAGATGCATGTTATCGATTTCCTACATCCTGTACGTGTTTATTTCCGTATTAAATAAACATAAAGCCTAAAAGCATTCGTTGCTAGTATACATATAACTAGATCTAGATGATGGAACTAGAGGGTGTTAAATTATTGAAAAACATATTTTAGTTTCCGAATTCTCTTGTTTTGTATGAAAAATGTGTATGTATGAATGTGTATCGATAAAAACCTTTAATGATCTTATTTTACTGACCAATATCCTTCATGTCTTCTTCATTCTACGTGAAATTCAATAAGTAATGTGTTCAACTGGCACGCTATACTAGTGACTTACCCTCGCTCCGATCGAGTGCCTCTCTAGGTTATCTGTGTTACACGAAGTCTATCTGTGGACTTTTCATCCAATCATTTCATCTACGTAAATCACTAGAATCAATAGAAAACATCACTTTACAAATCACATGTTAGACAGTTGTTTTTTCTAACGTTTCAAATGGATGAAAGCTGCAGTCAAAACTTAACAGACTTTGAAATAGAATAACTTGAAACTAAAAAACGAAGGCAATTGAGTTACGACACTACCTAATATAAAAGAAAATATTTAGATTTTGTGAATGTTATTATTTGGATAAAGTCCAGCTTCTATTCTATTTCAAACATCAAACGCAAACGTAAATGTGTGTAAGTAAAGTACAGAGTATACTGTGAATTAAGCCTGAGAGGGCTAGTGTCTTCATTAAGACGGGGGAGTTGAAACATTTTGCAGTCTATTCTTAACTATATCACTCACGTCTATGATATGATTTAAAGTATAGCATTTCAACTACGTAAAGTGCAAATATTAGTCTCACATTCATCATAAATCTAAGATACGATTTCGTGGTTCCAGATGAGACATGTGCTTTTCATTCTACATCTCAACTAATTCTAGTATAAAACACACAAATACGCCAAAAATGCTCTTAGTGTTATTTGGTGTATTTTTCGATTCAAAAATGCTTTATACTTGTTAATTGTAAAAGCGAAAAGTTATGGAACACCAGTGAAAGTATGTAAGTTGTCAAAATTAGATGGAGTAGTCACTTTGTTATTCATAATATTTTTACAAGAAAATGAATTAAAAGTTGTCGTGATACGATCATGTGATGGGAAAAATAACATGTAACAAAAAATATGATCAATATAAAAGTACAGGAATTTATAAGAAAAAAAGACAATTGAGTGTATAAATGAACTTTGTAAAAGAGTGTATAAATGAAAAGGGGATAATTACAGCCTAAGCAAAGCAAGTATGCGTTGCTAGTTGGAATAAACATACTTTTAATCAAATATTTTCTTTCACAGATCATTTAATAAAAAACAGTAGCAGCGACGTTTTGGCTTTTCGAGCTGTCCTAAAATTGACACCATCTCATCCGACTAACCCACATTATTTGTAAGTATGTTTTTTATCTTTAAATTAAATCAGTTATCGCATACGAATTTGCTACGCTAATATTGAATAAATTTGACGAAGGAGCGAGAAGTTTCAAAATGGATATGGAAACTCTATAACATAATGTAAAAAAAATCAAATTATTTCTAAAATTATAATTATTTTCTTTTTTAAAATTATAATTATTGTTTAATCTTACTTATTTAACTCATCGGAAGCCACATATTGTAAGATCTTTACGTTGCAGGACGCTTTGCCAAATGATCCGGAAGCTGTCTGCAGCGCCGCCATTTTGTGTCCCTAACTACCACAAAATATTTGAAGACACATCCGTAAGTATTCCTTTCAACTTGTCCCACGAATTAGGGACTTAAAGAAGAGAAAGTTTGAAAACTGGAAACCGACTAATAAAATAGATTAAAAAGTAAGAAATAAGTTAAACTAAGGTGCTGATTGCTATCATCATCGTCCTATTGAGACGTCCTTTGAAATGACGTTATATATATATATATTCCGGTTTATTTGGTTCTATTGAAGTCTTAGAAATATCTCCCGATATCCATTCACCTACTAAAGTTAGTAAATTAGAAGTCCAATATTGGTTACGTCAAATATACTTTGGTTGGTTGTTTCACAAAGAGGACTTTGATGGGTCACACAGTGCAATGGCAGATTATTAATTTAATTTGATATATGTATTTTCAATAGCATAGATTTGGGGAAAATGGGTCCTGGGTGTCCGCTCCGGGTGCCATCCGATGGAGATGACACCTGATCCAGTGTTACTATAAAAACTAAAGGAAAAGGGTGACTTTTCCTACCTTGGGCTCCATATATCTGGGATTGAATCCTCTGAAAAACTTCTAGTAGTAGTAGTCTAAAAGTACTAGTAGTAAGTTTTAAGCATGAACGTATTAGCCACTTCGTTCATGGTTTTAAGTTAAGCGTACGTTCCTACGTAAGCGGTTTTTGTTTACAATTTCATGGGTTTAAAAAAAATCAGAATTTTTGCAGAACCCTAATCCTTTTTCTTAAATAAAGGTAGCCTAAGTTACTCCTTATAGCATTATCTATATAACTAGTGTCCGTTTCAGAAATTAGCTAAAACAAACAGACAGACAGACACAGACAAAAATAAAAAAAATACCGTTAGTACTATATACTTTAATACGTACATATTCAGTAAAAAGCTGTTATTTTGACATTACAAACCGATACTTCAATTTTATTTATTCGCATAGATTTCGTAAGGACGTAGATTGTAGAGGTATAGACTACTTTTTGTCTCCATTTCGATTACTAGACGGGCGGGCTAGTTGAGAATATTTCTGTATACAGTATATATTATACATATTTACATATATTTTTGTATTTAAACCTAATATAAATTTAACAACTCCATTAAGCACTAATTTCGTAGGTATTTCAAAACAACTTCGCAAGAATATTTTGCTTTATAAACCACACTATAGAGTCATACTTTTTGTTTAATAACAAAATTTTCATACAAACTTTAGCTTACTATTCAATGGAGATTTTTCCTTTCCCGGAGTTGAAATTACACTTACAACAGTTTCTATGAGCTATTGGAATTTTAATACAAAGCCGTTGTAGTCGGGGAGAAGTTGTATTTCAAATGTTATTTGCTATTTTATTACGTGCGTACTCGTACCTACAAAGTGAAGATATTTTTTTGTAGTGATTCCTAATTATGAAAGAAAGCGAAGCGAGTTGCTAAGATATTAATTTATATATATATATATATATATATATATATATATATATAATACTTTTAATTAATATTTTGGTGTTAATTTGTAAAATATTTTTTTTTCCTAGATTATTTAGTTAAATTGTATTAAATTGTTTCATAATCTAACATTGTGATCTTGTTTTGCTAACAATCCACCATTTTGTATTGTAAATGCTGTGAGGTATGTTCAGATAGGCATCTCCTTAATGATCGGGTATATGTGTATATTATATTATGAGCATAGGCTCTGTAAATGTAATTAAAAGCTAGTGTCTCATAACAGAAGTTTTATTGCTTACGCAGATATCACTTCTGTCGTTTACGCGAAATGGTACTTGCAAGTACGATTTTAGTTGCCGAACACTAAAATCTTGCCACTATTTGCACTAGCAGTTACATTTGCACTAGTATTTTTATATCTGTCTCAGTTTTCACTTAATTTAAAACTTGGATGTACTTTCTGACTTTCCACAGAACTGTACATCCATTGTAAACTAAGTTATTTAAGTAGAATTTGCAAAAGAATTCTCATAGACTTCCTCAACAATTTTTTTTTCTTTTTCAACGCACAGCATTTTTCTGTGTTGTCTCATGACGATTCTCAGCAACTTATCATCTAGTTACTAGAGAAATAGAAGTTCCAAGCAAATTATGTCACATTCTAATCGGTACATAGGAAAACATGAATAAGATCCGAAAGAATCTGGAGTATTTTGTTATGACAATACGATCCCAATATGATAAGGGTATCTAGGGATTTTAGTGGATATTTCAATTTTTCCAGGCGAATCCCCAAAAACCCAGTAGCAGATCCGCGATAACACCTTGTTTATGTAATAACATGAATAAGTAACATGTTAAATTATTATTTAATTAGCAATTATTATTTAAATTCAATATTATTCTGAATGAAATATCTGAATGAATATAATAATAAATTATCATTTCAATGTGATTGTTAATTAAACCAAGTTATACTTGCGCTTAAACATGACTAGCGTTTTTCCGCGGATCCGCCCGCATATTTCAATTATAGTATATGACTATATCTTTAAAATTATAGACGACGTGTTCTTAAAAGTATAAGCGATATGATTGTATTGTTTCATCAAAATCCGTCCAGTAGTATTTGCTTGAAAGATTAATAAACATTCATCCATACATTCTCACTGGCGTTTATAATATTAGTAGGAACCATGTTATGATTTTGTAAGACATATGAAATTTAGATATGCCTAGTGTTCTTAGTTCTTAAACTCCTCACGGTGATTGTCCAAACCAAGAGACAAAAGCCCAAAATCCATGATAGTGTCCAGCATTCGCTTATGGCGATCGGATGTATCTACTACTCTGACGAAAAGGAAGATATTATTGTCAGATTTGATTTATCAGTCGAAGAGACTTCCATAAGGTCTATTATAGGCTAAAATAACTAAAAGGTGGCAATCACGCGCAGAAGTGAAGAGCAAACGAAACGCTTTTATTCTGTATTAAACGTGACAGCATCTCTACCAAGATGACCTGAGAGCGCTTTATCAACTTACAGCACTGCTCTTAAAACTCCAAACAATAGCCTAGAGCTCAACCAGCCTCATTGCTATAATTTCATAAAACTCCTTAATTCTCAATTTGAAAGCAAGATTTTAACCTCAATTAATGCACGGCCAAAAGTCTGTAGTGTTCGTATACTCACTTAAAAAACATATAAAGCTGTAAAAAACAAATAATATTTCTATTTTTAAGGTGCAACGTAATTTTAATGGATGACCCATTAACATGTTTTACAGAGTGTACCTCTTTTGTACAAGGTCGGGCTATCAAAAATAGACATCGTTAAGCCCGCTTCAGTGTACAGTGCAAACGATCTAGCTTTATGGTTCATCAAAAGCTAACAAGCTTAGAAACACTATACTTCCATACAAGTGGGTGATGTTTAAAATAGATTTTATAGCTAATGTTTTCTAAGGTACATACATGATTATAGTAATTTTAGCTGTTATTATTATAATTATTACAATTTTTTATAAAAAACTTTATTAATTAGTAATCTATATTTAGTGTTGCCATTATTAATATTTATAAACTTAAAGAAAAATAAAATATTAATTATTCAAGCCACATTATTATTTTATGTGTAATTTAAAAGTTAAAATTAATTAAGAGTAATAATTTTAATTTATTTTGTTATTATTTAAAGAAACAAATGATTAAGCAACACTGTTACTCCATACATTTACAAATGAAAGAATATTAATTTTGAAATACTGTATTTTGATCTGTACAGTAAGAACTTACTACATCTGTCTGTTATGTATAGATTTATTATTTGACTAGCATTGCGCGCGGCTCCGCCCGCGTTCAGATGACCAAAAATCAAATTCTTAGGTTTTACATATTACTCGTAGTATACTCGTACATTGCAGTTTTTATATTTTTTCTCAGAAATGAGATATTTTCCCGCGGTAAAAAGTATCCTATATGTTGACCCGGATAACCAGCTATCATGATACCAAATTTAATCAAAATCTGTCCAGTGGTTTTCTCGTGATGCGGTAACAGACAAACAGACAGACAGACAAAAATCGAAAAACTATAGATTCGGACTCTGTATCGATAATAATGTCTATTTCGATTGGATTTTCCAAAAAATATTTAATGTACGGATTCGACTTAGTTACAATTTTATTATATGTATACATTTTATTATATCGATGACAGGATCCCATGACGATAGTAGTACCCAGTCATCCGGATGGCATTTGTAAATGTATGGAGTAATAGTGTTGCTTAATCATTTCATCAACATATCAGAGAGATATCTGCATTTGGATAATATTGCGTAAAGCCCTAATTCCTTTCGCAGTAAGGGGTATTATTAAAATTTATTCTTATAAAATCATTAATTTACTTCGTCTGTCTATTTACTTATTTCTTTAAATCTCCGGAATGGTTGAATCGATTTTATCAGGACTTATTGTCAGTTTAAAGTATTTAAATGATAAGCACATAAGATACTTTTTGGATTCTAGGAAATAAAGACATACAAGATTATAAATAAATAAATATACGTGCAACTTACAAATGAAAATAAAATAAAATTACTTGGAGAATTTTGTGCTATTCTATTCAGTTACCTAAAAGTTCACCCAATGAAATATCATTAAGAAAATGTTGTCTTAGTCGAAGTACTTGTAAGACGAATTAATATGAGCAATGCTATCGTTGATTTTATACTCTTTGAAATAGACATAAAGTTTTCCTCAATATTTTATAAGAGCTATTTACTTAAAGCTCCCTCACAAATGTAGCGCCTGTAATATTTTATGCCAAAAATATCTAGCAAAACGAGTTGACGCTACGATCTGTCTGAAAATGTAATAAAATTATTGTAACTGGGTCCAATATCAATATTTCTTGAAATTTATCGAGAACTTGAGGTGTAATAAACTACTTGAGGTCTAAATCTACAGTTTTAAAAGTTTTATCCGCCTTTTTTGCTGCAGAATTGCTTAAAGGATTTCATTGTTACAAAAGTACTTTATACTATTATATATAAATACAATTAAAACAAATCGAATG